TTTTTAACAAAAAAACGAAGTCCAGATGACATGATTCAACCTTTTTTGTTGACCTAGTATATAATTTTTGGCCGATTCCCTAAACTAGATACCCATTATTTTTTTAATAACCTGCAAAAGTGTGATATTTTACATAATTTTAATGCAGTTTACCATTTTGCCTCAGATATTATCAGAAGGATTATTAGAAATGATTGGTTATTGAATATATTAAACAGTATCCGCATCGCATCACCTGCACAGAATGACCAAATGACGTGCAAATGGCTGGCTGTTTCTCCGTCGGTTGTGGCTAAGCTGAGCGTGTGTGTGGTTGAAAACGATGAACTCGTCTCCATGTGGTAGACATTACATGTCAGCTGCTGCTTTGTTTTATTTTTTTCATGCTTTCACCCCACCAGTTTAAATTACACGGGCCACAAGCTCCCTCATTGATCTTCTCACGTTTTCTTGTTAAAGTATATCACTTTGTGGCTGCTTCTTGAACATTCAGATCGGGTCACTTACATAAGCAGCTGCAAAGAAACTCCATCACACAACCCTTCCCCCTTTAAAAAAAAAAAATGTGTGCATACAGAATATTTATTTTTGGATTGTTTGGATACAGCTTTCCCGAAATATATGTAAACAGGTAAACAAAAGGCTTCAGTGTCTTCTGTGAAGTTTCTAATTAAAAACACTCCCTGCAGAACTTCCCCATTCTTTTTTGTTGATCAGTTAGCCTGATTCAATATTATCTTGTTGCACATGGTGAGAGCAGTGTGAATGTTGCTCAGGAGTAGGTTATGACACATTTGGATGCATGCTACCGTCTGCTGGGCCCCTAAGCAGAGACGGAGAGTTGCAGACAAAGTTCTGATAAAGAACAGACTGTGTGCATGTGGCTGAGTATATTTTTACTGGGCATATGTGTGTGAGTCAGCCAGTTTGACACCTGTTAAACTTCAGGCTTTTGGAGATGATTGTTTCTGATCTGTATCAAAAATACCTTTTATTCTCTGTATATCACAATCAAGTCAGTGGTTTCCCCAAAGCAGCTGCAGAGCTTTTAGCCCCAGGGTGAGGGTCTGGTCGCTCTGTGTCCTGGAATGCAGTTAACGTTCTAAATCCCCACCAGTCTATCCAGGGGCAGAGGGGCAGGGCCTATCTCAGGCCCCCTTTTCCACGTGAGCTACGTCTGGAATCTCTTAAGTGAGCAGCTAGCCTATACCCCCAACCTTTCTTTTTAACGGTACTCTATGTGTTGATTTTAAAGAGCAATGGAAGAAGAAATTGCAAATGAAGACAAAGATTGCTCACTTAATGAAGGTAATGAAGTTTCTTATGTCAGCTGTGCATGGATTCACACCCTGCAGAGGATTGAGTGTTTATTTTTTAATTTAATTTAATTTTTTGTCTGCTTGGTGCAATTTGGTTAGCTGTGGGGAAACTGTTTGGGAGTTTAAAAATAGTTTTGGAAGTACATGAGTCGTGCTGTGACTTGAGTAGTGTGGGGGTTTGGGCTGACGACGCACTGACACTCGGTTTGTTTATTTAAAAAGTGATACCTGATCTATATGCATTAATACATTTTTTGTTTATGTTTGTGGGAAAAGTGGATAAGAAAGGTGACATAAAGTAGACTGCACATGGAAACAAAATACGGTGTTGACTTGCAGCAGCTAAACCTACAGAGTAACCTTTGCTCAAAATGTCTTTGAGGGCATGGCAAAATGTTACCTCGTTATTTGTTCCACACACTGTGCTTTCAAGCCTTCAAATATGAAAATGTACTAAACAACCAAACAAAAAAACAGTGGCAATACTTGAAAATTCCTATTTCAAATACTGATGACTTGAACTCTGGAAAAGGTCCTTCATTTTCTGCCATTAGCCTCTAAAAGGTACATATTACAGCTCTCACCTGCCTACAAAACACACTTCGGTTCATCTTATTGCTTTTCTTCTATGGCGACCTCCTCAAATAACATTCCTTTCTTCTTTTCACCATTTGTTCCTTTGTCCTCTTTCTTTTTCTTTATCTGAAACTTTATTTTTAATGCTTCATACTATAGAGCCATCCATTATCTTTACCCACTCCTTCCTTTCCAGGTCATAGGGGTCACTGGTGCCCATGTCCAGCAGTCACTGTGTGAGAAGCGGGGGACACCTTGCACAGGTCGCAAGTCCATCACAGGGACACATAGAGACAAACGAGACAACCATTCACTCTCTCACTCACACCTAGGAACCATTTAGAGTTACCAATCATCCTAACATGCATATTTTTGGTTGTTGGGAGAATTCAAGTCAGCATCCTTTTCACTGAGAGGTGGACGCTCTACCAACTGCACCACCGTGCTGCCCCATACTCTAGATCTACTCCAAATTATCTTTCATTAAAGTCTCATAAACAAGAGGACAAAGATGTTTCTGCAACAAAACAGGCCTAAATAATGGTTATTTTGAATATAATGCATTAGGCATGCTTGCATTGACTGCAAAGAATTGCTAATGTGAATCTGATTATGTTGTTTGTTTGCTAAAGCAGTCTTGTTGAACATATATCAAGTGCTTATTATGTGTTCTTTACCTTTACATGCACATTTTATAGTAAGAAAAGTGCATTAATTAATTCATTATAAATGACATTGCATTGGTCCTGAAATGCACTTTTTTGCACATACCATTGCTAATGACAAAATGTAAGAATTATGTCACATAAAAAGTTAATTCTTAAACTAAAAATCATTCAATCTTCTTTCAAACGTACCATCATTTGTTGACTTTTTAAAATCACCACTTTATACACATTTCTGTCCATACCTGTTGTTTCAGTGTTTTTTTTTCAATATGGTTCAGATCAGTGCTTTGTCTTAGTTATTTCGTAATCCTTTATTTTTGCTTTTAATACATTTTGTAGTGGATTTGTTAGCATGCTGAAAATCATTAACCTGAAATTATTAATTAATGACCTGCTGACTAGTTTCGTCTGTCTGACCGATGTCCTCACATTAAGCAATCTTTGATGGGTGAGAGGAATCAAATCACTGACTACAGAAAGCCCACCACTGAGGCAACAAAAAAAATACAAACCATACGACTTCCATCATCGTGTTTCACAGTTGATAGGAGGTTGTTCTTAAAAAAAAGTTGGATTTGTGCCAAAGATTCCTGTTACTGTCAGCAAACAAATTGTTTTTGCTTATTTCAAAATGTTTGGTTGTTGTCACCGTGTTCTCTACTGAGCAGTACCGTATTTTCCGGTGTATAAGTCACAGTTTTTTGCATAGGTTTGCCAGTCCTGTGACTTATACGCCTAAGCGACTTATATGTTTTTTTTTTCCTCTTCATGATGCTTTTTTTGGACTGATGCGCTGGAAAATATGGTAATTTGTTTGGTGGTAAATTTATAACATGACACTGTTATGAACACTGTCATGATATTGTGCTGTACTTCATTTTTCACAACTTTTACGTTCATTACATTTTTAACCTCTTCTTTCTGTACCTCCATTGCTTTCTCAGAACAAACCAAAAGCAACCTGAAGGTAACCTCCCCTGAGGATGCTGAGCACCTAATCATCAGGCAGGCATCCCCAAATGGGTCAGCTCCTTCTAGAGGGGACGTCAAAGGCAGCAGGACTGTCCCTCGAAGGCACACACTAGGAGGGGCTCGCACCTCCCGAGAGATCCTGGCGATGCAGCCACCAGATATGGACAAGAAGAGAGAAGCCTTCCTGGAGCACCTGAAGCACAAGTACCCCCACCATGCCTCAGCAATCATGGGCCACCAGGAGAGGCTCAGAGACCAGGTCAGTGGGTTTAAGGGAGACCAGGATATGTGACATTCTTTGGTTGTAGAAACGATCACTTTGGTAACATTGGACTTACCTTTTGTGAAACCTACTTCTTTAATCTTCATCAAAGTTCATGTTCAATAACCCAGGTCAAAAATCCAACATAGTAAAGTCAGGTCCTCTGGACGTTTTTTTTTTTTTTTTGTTGAAATGTTTCATCCATAATAATAATAATACACTTTGGCCATGGCTGCCTCAGAGGAGTCGACGGGGGAGAGGGTGAACTTCAGAAACCATCTTATCACCATCAAACTGGTTGGTCCACTATGTGAGTGTGCTGCTTGTGGAACTGAGTTTACTGTGGCTCCTCGGACTGACGAAGTCCTTTTGATGAAGGACAAAATGTTTCAACAAAAAAAGAAATCATCCAGAGGACCTGACATAACTACTGGTATTTATTTAATACTGTATATCAACTAGGGCTGCACAATTTATCCCAAAAAATATCATAATCACATCATCAATATTGGCAATATTATTAGTTAAAAAGATTGCAAATACAGCAGTCCCTCGTTTATCGTGGGGGATCTGTACCCTGAAGATCCGTAAGTGAAAAACCACAAAGTAGAAATAGTAGTACAAGTAGTAAGTAGTAGTTTATTTTAGTATTTATATATTTATATATATATTAAGACATTTTAAACTCTTCCCACACTCTTGCAATATTCTAAACAATGTTTTTAAACTCTAAATGCTCTAAAAGAGTGCAGAATGTCATGACTTCCCTCTCTCTGCCTCAGCTGCTCTCAGCCACCTGTAAGCGCTCTTGGCCACGCCCACTTCTCAGCTCTGCACGCAGAACAGCTGATCAGCTGCAGCAGGAAGTTTATCCTGCAGCTGTGGGCTGCACAGAGCTGCAGGAGGTGATAAATACTTAAAATGATTTATTTAAAAAAAAGATCTATGCGGATCGTGCTGTTTTTCCATCAATCAGACAAACTGTGTCATGTCCGATCTTATTTTGAAAAACCGCGATAGAGCGAGTCTGCAATAAATGAACCGCTATTGACTACTGTAATGGCAAATACAAACTACATAACAAGAACATAATTGATCGTCAAATGGACACACCAGATTTAGAAGTTAGAGGTCAAAACGTTAAAAAACATTGAGAGAAATTGATCAAAAAATATTTTTTGAAAGGAGTCATGTGAGAAAAATGTGTATTTATCACGGCTGATATCTTCATTTCTTCCTAATATAATTTCCAGATCTGTTCTGTTTTTTAAAGTTTGTCTGTAGTTCTCTTCAGCTTTGCGAAAAAGTGCTTTTGATTTGCTGGCGTGCACGTTTTTCCTCTTTATCTCATTTCTTGTTAAATTAGTCTGTACACATAGCTGGCAACAAGCTATTAATCTTGTGGTGCGTTTAGCTCTTAAATTGTGCAGTACTGTGTAGAAAACGTGACTCTGTCTTCCACAGAAGTCAATATGTGGTGCTGGTATTAAACTTCCATAACTGTGGTCAGTTGAGTAATTACTCCTTGTGTTTTCTTGACAAACAGATTTGGAATAACTGCGCTGAAACTGAACATTACACTTCATGTGATCCACACCTTTTCTTTCTCTCTCTCTTTCTTTGATTCTCACAGTTTAACACTAATGCATCAATATGTAGTTCCAGTGCAAGTTAGTTAATTTATTATCTAAATAAAAGAGTAAAAATCATTAAGAGTTAACTTACCTTTGAATGAACAACAAAGTCCATGCTCAATACCTTTGAATGAGTATAACAGAGCTTATAAAAAGTTACTTTAGCTGTAAAACTGTGAACATGCTTGTATTAAATGAAAAAAAAAATAGAAGCAACTGAGTAGCTGTTGATCTTTGTACTGTATTTCACTATTGCATGTTTGTTATTTATTTTATGAAAAGCAATGCACACCTCAAACTTAAAATTGACCAGCAACTTAAGTAAAGATGCTTTGGTTTTGTGTTGCTTGTGTCATGAATCGTTGCAGATTAGTTGTTGGTTAATGACACCCTGAAGTGTGTACTGGCATATTTAGGTGTAGTTCAGTTCATAACATAATTAAATTTATCAAATGTTCAAACAAAAATTAAAAAGTATTTAAATTAATGTCTTAGAATTTCTTGAAGGAATGCATGGTCTCCTTTCATGCCCGATGAAGTTGTAGCTGTTTTGAAAATAACATTGTGCCACATTTCATGCAATATCACAAGCTGTTATGTTCAGAAGATATTGTAGTTACACATCTGCTAGTTTCATTAGATTTTGTCCAGTGGTTGGAGATATTTTACAGACATTGGGTAGAAACATGCATGTCTACCTTTGCTTTTCAGTAGTATAATCAGCTATGGCTCCATGTAAAAACTTCCTTTTCCACAGTCCTAAATATATATATATTTTTTTTTTCATTTTTCTTTATAAACTGCAGTGAAAATGTTTTCCCTCCAATATGTGCAAGAATAAGTTATGAAGCAGCAAAAAAAAATGCAAACCACAAACAGTTCTAAGTGGCCACCTCTGTTTTAATCACCCTTTATGACTTGCTCTTATAGCTTCAGGCAGGTTTTTATAAATCCAACATGACAGCGTGATGTATAGCATATATTTCCCAGTGTATTTTCCTGATCTTTTAGAGGTTGAAAAAAGTCTTGTCACACCTGTCAGCTCTCTGAAGTCAACAGGACGAGCAACCAAGCGAGTCTTGAGGTGCATAATCAGCTCACCTGGTCATTGTCTGTTTGTTTGCCCTGGGTCAGTGGAGATGAAAGGAAGGAGCAAACTGGTTTTGTAGCCAAAACAATATGAAGTAATGGCAAGACTGGCATCAAGCCACGGAGGAGCTCCAGGCAAACGTGCAAGGCTTTTTGACAGAGGGAGCTTGTGTGGAGTTTTTAGATCAGCGCCCAGCCTTCCTTTATGCAAAGCTGTTTCACAACCCTGCTCTGATTATGAACTCAGCAGATTTGCATATGCAGCATATCTGCCAGAATAGGCTGAAGTTAAATCATCAGCTGCTTTGTTTACATGTGTCTCAGACTAGCTTGTCCCTACAGAGGATATATCTGTGTTAAAACAAATACATGCATTTGTTTTATATCTACAGACAAACAGGGAGGAAAATGTTCTGAGCTGAGAGTAGTCAGACAGGTAGGATCAGCTCAGGACTGGGGTGGAGTCAGGGTTGCCATGGTGACTTGTGATGTCACTGCTGAAGGGGTTCAGTTTACTTGTAGGTGCCTGTCGGAGAGAACCGGCTGTGCGTGAGTGTGTGCGTGTGTGTGTGAGAGAGAAAGAAAGGACAGGAGACTGAACAAGTCATGGAAATTAAGAAGCTTTGGAGTCTTTGGACCTGAGGATTTAAAAGAAGAAAGAAAAAAACTTTTATTATTTATATGTTTTTTGCGCAAAAAGGAATACATGTGCGGCGCTCAGTCCGATCAGAAGCAGCACAGGTAAGACAGAAAATATGAAGCAAGTGCATTCGTAGCCATTTAGAGCCCTGCTGTGTGCTGTTGATGTTATCTTGCCGCAGCGACGCGTTCAGAGAAGTTTTCCTGCCGCAGCGCAAAGAGCCGCAAACTTCAAGGGGAGAGCGCAACTTGTGGAGCCAAGTTTCACCACGAGAAAAAAAAAAGAATTAAAACAGCCACATCTGATAGATTCAGCACGCAGATAATTAATTGGATCGACGCTGTCGTGTAGTTGTTAGACTATAGGAAACACCTCGATGATCTGGAGGCTATAATGAAGGAAGAAGCGCTTCTTGTTGCTCGAGTTGCGAAACAATTTTCGCAATACAACAAATGCCAACATGCATCTCATCTGAAACTGTCTCATGTGAAACTGTACGGGGTGGATGTTCTGACTCTTTGAGGCAGAGGAATATAGCAATATTTATGAATCAGCATCATTATTGTCATGAAGATGTGCTTCAATATTATCTTGATGAATTCACCAAAATATGCAGGATTTAATGCAAAGTGTTAAATACAAATGTAATGGAGTTATTATGCAACAACTCAAACTCCAATCCTTGATCTTTTAGATTGCAAATATGCACACATAATAGTATTTCTGCACATAAAAGTAGCTATATTTACTGAAAAGTACTTTAAAAGTTCTTAAGATGATAAATGTTGACTGTTGTCAGGTTTGAAAGTTACTTACAGGCGCATAACATTTAATTATGTTCACATTAATATAGAAAAGTTAAATATTAACAAATAGCTTCCCATTGAAATACTCCAAATGTTGTTCAGATGTGATTACAGTTCTCTGCAGTCACATGGTGTTGGATGTGCACTCAATAATTACTTTCATTCTAATCTGACCAGTGGTTTGTGAGATATTTTGCTAACAGACACACACAGCTTATTCGTATAGTTTATGTCAGAGTTTCAAACATACATTTTACAGTCTTTTATCGCTAGGAGTACGTGTTGGAGATCAGTCTCAGCTACTACCACTCCTAATTCTATCTCGGTATCTGTAAAATTGACTTTATCATAAACATTTTTGTGTTTGCTAAAATTGCTTAGCAGCCATCTTGGATTGAGTTGATTTAAAACATTAATCAGCTGTAATAGTTCTGGGATTGTCAATAAAATAACCTCTGGTTCATGAAACATTTAGCTAACAGACAACCTCACTGCCTTTAGCCTTTTGGCAGCAGTTGATAAATACAACTCATTCAGACTCGGAGAAATTTAAAAAATGAGCTGACTTCCAGTTCATTGATTGTTGAATTTAGGTCTAGGTCAAGTTGTTTTGCATCTGGGCTTATATGAACCAAACAATTTTTGTATTGTTCCAGGTTCGTATAGTTAAAACCAAATGTCCTCAGACAGATTATCTAATGTTGTTTTAATCTGGGCAGAGATACTGTAAGAAACAAAATGTTTTTTGGCCTTTAATTTGTTCCCTCTCCAAGATAAGATGCCGCTTGTTGAATTGTCTCAGTTTGAAAACGATTTTGGAATAAATAA